CTTAAACCCCAGCTCCCAAGTCAGCCAGCCACAACAGTGTGAATTCCTCAGGGAGGTGCCAGTCTCATCCTCTTGTAATTCTCATGCTCCACCGGCAAGCTAAGAAAATGCTTATCTCCCTGAGCCTGGCCTTCATAATTCCATTCCATCACAGTGAGGTCCATTTGAACTCTGCTGCAGAGCAGGGATTCTTTCTCCATCCTATGCAAGGATGCTCTACCAAGATGCTGGAGGGAGCTAAAACCCTAATCCTAAGTGGCTCACTGCGAGCAATTTTCATTCTTTTCAGACACGATCAGTTGGATCCATCCTGACCTGTACTCCATCCGCCTGGCTCATATCTATAGATTGCCTACCTACAAGTAGATTTTAATGTGCTGGACTTGGCAATGGGAATGATTGAAATCATGCTTCTGGTCTAGATCAAATTGCCTTCTCTCAACCTAACTTACTTCAGAGTGGTGTTAATGGGGTAAAACTGAGGGAGGGTGGATCTAGCCACATCCATGTATTTTACTCTAAAATTACTCTAAAAGTGTAGAAAAAGATGTGATACAAATGCAAATTTTAATAATAGTTATTACATCCATTTGGAACAAGGGATGGGGGGCCTGATGTGTAGGACTCATTATGTTTAATTTGGGGTTATAGGTGGTCTAGTCCTAACAGAACAGAAAAAATATTAGGACAAAAATAACCAAATGGCAGGTTTATTGTGCTTTTCTACAGTCTATCCATTTTGTTTAGTAATAATTGACTGTTTTTATGTATATCCACACTTCCTCCCATAATAGTGGTGGAAAGAGAGACTACACAGACATTTTTGTTGAAGAACTTTAATGTGCTCCTTTCCACAAGAAGTTAGACTATACTACTGATTCAAAACTTAGAAGAGACAAACAAATCTTCAGTGATGTCCACTACCTTTTTCTGGAGGGAAAAATGTATATTCAACTGCAAGTGCTACTACAAAGGCGGCAAACCCCCATTTGAATCCTCTGGTGACTGTTTCCAGGAAAGTGCTTGGTTTTGCAAAGCCACCTGTGAATCTCCATGCTTCATTGCTAGCAAAAAAATAGACATAAGATGAAAAATTACACAATTTTGCAACTTTACTTTTTAGCCCACAGTTTAAATTACACATAGTATTTTCAATTCAGAATTAAGTATCCCTAAAAATTAAGTAAATTATTCAAACTTCATATACCCTTTTTCTATCTAGATTCACCATCACCAAGCCAAAAAGCCTCTCCAGAAGTTAACTGATTACTGGGACAACACGGGATGGAGTATATGTTGACAGATGAGGGAGGG